ATGACAAGTTCTCCAAGAAGCTCCTGGCTCACTTTCAGCCCTCCTTTTCTGATCTAACTCTATACCATCTCTGTGCGAAATGAGCAACCCTAACGTGTGCCGTGAAGTTCATTGACATGGTCTTTTTTCCCCACCCAAATAGTGAACTTTGCAGGAAAGGATGGGATTGTAAGGCTGGTGAAAGGTGGCCAGGCCTTTCCCTGCCATGTTCTGGGGATGTGGCAGTGCCAGAACGAAGGAAAGAGGCTGGATAGCGTGCACTAAATCTCAGCTCTGCAACAAGATTTGGACCTATCTGCACATAGGGTGGGGCAGAGGACATGAGTTGTGGTCTTTCCTTGTTTTAGGAATTTGCTCAAAATATTTTTCTCCTGCTTTTCTACCAAAAAAAGCCCCCACTTAACAAAAATACTGTTAACACAATATTTAAACATGCATTTGACAGTAAGGTTGAAGAGATGCTGTATCACAGAACCCCAGAATTGAAAGAGGGCACGTTAGCGCTTAGTCCAAGTCCAGACTCAGTCTAGATATCCCCGCAAAAAGCATCTCATTTCCCTAAATTCTCCCTTCCCTTCACTTCCAGTTCCTGAATCGTTCTCGTTGTTCTTCTCTGCACCTGTTATGCCTGAACCTTTCTTAAAGTTTGGTGCCTGGGCATTCTGCTTCACTCTAAACTAGGGTTAGCGAAACACAAGGATCAGATTCACATGACACACCCAAAGAAAGGACTTCTATTTTGGTTTAGTTCGGTGGCTGAGTTGGTGCAAGCTACGAACAAGACCAGAATTCCCACAACACGCTGGACCCCAGACTCCATTTTAGCTTAGCCTGGGGTGTTACGCACAACCAGCATCCATATGCATATTTGCATGTCTTTATGCCCCCATAAATGCATCTCTGCAATACAGATAGAATACAGTATATAGTCTATAGAAGGAAGGTAAAAAAAATAGGTCATTGGAAGGTATTGGGGGTGCAGGGGCAAAAGACCAAATGATTTTGGTTAATCATCTGGGCAAAACACATTTTATCATTTTGGTATCGTCCTGGTTAGGGGCAGGTTGCTATGTTGAAAGATTGCTTTTCGATACCTTTTGCTGTGAGGTTTCTCTACTTCCCATGAGGGAGATACTATAATATTGCCATTTCCTCATTTCCTTTTTTCTTTTTTTAACAACTTGTTTTCTCTTTCGAGTATTTCTGGTTTACTCCCCAGCCCAGTAAAAAGGAGAACCTTGGCACAAAATACAGCTGCATCTTCAAGGGTCTATTTTCTCATCTTCCTTCTGTGTGCCTTAAATAAATATATGGGTCCTTCTGCTGTCTCCCCCAGAACACCAGAATTTCTTTGGGGTGGATGATCAGCTGGGCGCTGTGGCCATCTCCCTGCGCCGCGAAGAGAAGGAAGGAAGCGCTGGTCCGCAGTATAACTACCGTCTTATCATACGCACAAGTCAGGTGGGCATTGGTCTCCCACCACATTGTGCCCAGAGGGGAGAGGGCGGAAATGTGACTGAGGTTGCGGGAAGGAGTTGGGGAGATGCCCACAGTCTGCCTTGTGAGAGGGAGCAGAACTGCCGCCTTACAAATAGTACTTGATTCAACCAGAAGTAATTTGTCCCGGCATGATTGTGACCATGTCTTCTTTAACAAGATTTATTGAGAGAAAAGGGATGGGGTTACATGAATTTCAGCAAGAGAACTATTTCTTATTTAGAACTGATTTGTCCCTCAATACATTGGGGCGGAAACTAAAAGCTTTTTTTGCAAATCAGTGAGGAGGTGGGTCTTTTCACTGATAATAGAGGAGCTGGCAAGTGGGTGTTAACAAGACCATCTTCTGACTATCAGTCTATGAAACCAATCCTTGTGTGGAGGCTCGGGGGGGGGGAGGACTTTGTGCTACAGTAAGAGGATGATATTAGGACAAAGGGGACCCAAGAGCGATGGAGAACAGCCAGCCCCACCACTCCCAGCCTGGTAAGCCCCACCCTCTGTTCATTCCCAGTGGATTACCTTGGAGACTGTTCATCACTCCAAAAGGAGAAAAGATCTGTGATCTCACATCCTTCCCAACCTGGTATCTTCCAGCTCCCGTAATACCCAAAGGGTATTCTGGCTGTGGATGATGAGAGTTGCAGTCCCAGGCTTCTGGAGGTCTCAGGGGAAGGCTCACAGAGTGCATTTTTTTCCTTCTGCCCCCTTCATGACCCATTGCTCTGTCACTCCCAGCTGCGGACTCTGCGCGGATCCATTTTGGAGGATGTTCTTCCTCTCACTGCTCGCCATGCCTCTCCCCGGGGTGTTCCTCCCAAGAAGCTGCTGGAGCATGTCATGCCAGAGCTCAACTTGCAGTGCCTCCGTCTTGCTTCCAGCTCCCCAAAGGTCCCAGAGACATTACTGAAGTTGGATGAGCAAGGGGTAGGTCGGATTGAGTTTTCGAAAAGTTTGGCTGCAGAAGGCATTTTCATCGGAATCTAATAGATGGGCCAGAGTGTGTTTCTTTGGGCTTCGCCATCCAATGGCATTTTAAATATATTGTACGCTGCAGAGTCGCTTGAAAAAGTGAGATGGGTGGCTAATAAATTGTGTAAATGAATAAAAAATACATATATTTTGTACCGTTCAGTCACGCGCCACCCTCATGGTGGTTTATCACAGGGTCGAGCAGTAGGGTTCAAAGCATCTCATCCCATGTCCACGTTTTCTGTTGTTGGACTGTTCCCTAAATTCCCTGTAATCTTGCAAATGTGCTCGCTCTGAGGTCTTATATGAGCTTGACAATGACATTGAAATCCCATTAAACCTTACTTGAACTTTGGTGAGATTCCGCCATTCTAGTGCAAGTTCACCAAAATTTCAAGCGATCAGGGCAGGACAAGTCAATCTGTGAAATCTTGTGAGGTGGGCGAACTGTGTACAAGCACTGCCACCCTCTCATTTACAGATCTGAAAATAAATCTTAAAATCAGAGGTTTTTAAAGGGGTATCACAAAGACAATGATAAAAGGAACTAGCCTGGTACAAGCCGAACAATTTGCTGGGGACATTATCTGGATGCCCCGTAAAATCTGCACAAAGAACTGGATTTATAACTTTAAAAAGTGCTACGTTAAACCTTGTTGGACCAAGCAGGCGGGACATTCAGATCATCACTTAATGATGGCTGATTGCTTTAGTTCCCGTCTTGTTTCTGTTCCCTCGCTCTTGTCCCTGCAGCTCAGCTTCCAGCGCAAAGTGGGGGTGCTGTATTGTCGGGAAAAGCAAGGCTCTGAAGAGGATATGTACAATAACGAGAAGGCTGGGCCCACCTTTGAAGAATTCCTGAGCCTTTTGGGAGAGCGGGTACGCCTGCTCGGCTTCGACAAGTACCGTGCGCAGCTGGACAACAAGAGTAAGTGTAAGGCATGATCAGCTTCTGCAAGTACAGGTAGTCCTTGCTTAATGACAATTCGTTTAGCGACTGTTTGAAGTTATGATGGCGCTAAAAAACTGGTTACAACCATTGCTCAAAGTTACGACCTGTAGCGTAGCAGCACCCCCGTGGCCATGTGATTGTGATCCAGGCATTTGGCAACCAGCTCACACTTACGATCATTGTAGCATCCTGGGGTCATGTGATCTCCATTTGTGACCTTCCCAGCCAGTTTCCGGCAAGCAAATCAGTTTGGAACTGCATGATTCACTTAACGACCACAGTGATTCACTTATCAGCTGCCACAAAAAAAGGTCGTAAAATCAGGTCCAGTCACATGATGATTTGCTTAACAACTGCATCACTTAGCGACCTAAATTCCAGTCCCAATTGTGGCTGTTAAGCAAGGGCTACCTGTTTATGTGCATGTAGCTGCACATGGCTACCCAGAGACCCAAATGCATGTTTGCATGTTGTGCACAATCATGGAACAGGACAAAGAGAAGCTTGGTCAATATTAAAAAATTCATTTCATGATGTGCTTGGTTAGGGAGGGGATTTTAGCAGAACTAGCTCCAACCTCCTAATTTGGAGGACTCCTGAGCACAATTCTCCTTAAAGCATGCTCTGTTTAAAGTTATCAGACGTGACTCTTTCTCCTTCCTTCCCGTGCCCCTTCTTTGCAGGTGACTCTACAGGGACTCACTCTCTGTATACCACATACCAGGACTATGAGATTATGTTCCATGTCTCCACCATGTTGCCCTATACACCAAACAACCGCCAGCAGGTGAGCAGGGGCTGTGAGCTCACGGAAGAGAAAGCAGAGAAAACAAGTTGTGCGTCTGAGATGGGGAGTGAGGGGGAATGCTTTCTCCAGTCTGACAATCCAGGGCTGTCTGCTGAAAATGTCAGGCTGTTGTAAGTCAGATCAGGGATTCAAAGTGTCTGTGTCTGCAGTGTCTAAATCCCTTCCCTTCCCCTACTTCTTTTCTTTCAGCTGTTGAGGAAACGACACATTGGGAATGACATTGTGACCATCATCTTCCAAGAGCCAGGTGCCCTCCCCTTCACACCCCGCTTGGTTCGTTCACAGTTCCAGCATGTTTTCATTGTGGTCAGAGTTCACAATTCCTCCACGGACCATACCACCTACAGGTGAGGAGGGGGAAAATGCTGGCAAAGCCATCCTACCTTTTTAAAGTACTTCTGATTGTTATAGCACCCAGAGTAAATGTGTTTCTCCTTGATTGCCCTGATAGCAAAGAGTTTTAATTTTGGTGTAGTCACCAAGAGGTTACTTGCAAACCAAGATTTGGTTTGGGTTTGGCTTGATTTTCACATTGGGAATCATACCACATTGCATGCAGTTGTGAGTCCTGAAGATTCAGCAGTGTACAAGTTTGATAAATAAATTTTAAATAATGAAGAACTCCCCTCTCTCCATCATAGCCTCTTCTTCCTTTTTCTTGCTGGCATTTGGGATTGGCCCAAATTTGACTACCCTACCCCATTCCACCTGAGATTTTATACAGAGTCTGGGTTCGTACAATGCATTGAATGCAGGTTTAAAAAAAAAGCAAGTATTATGTTCACATAACATGCAGTGCCTAGTTGGTTCCTAGACCACACTGAATCCAGACTTGTCCTTCCCCATGTTAACTCTGCCTAGCATTCGTATGAACCCAGCTCCAAAAAGGAATTGAACTGGCAACTGAATCTGTAGTGAAGACAACAGAATGATGAAATCAGGGGGTTAGTTTAAGAGTTCAGAGCTCCCCATTTACCTTACCTAAAGCTGACCTCATCGCATCAGCAGCTTAGCAATTTGTCTGCAGCAATGTTTCAATGATAGATAATGCTAGCTAGATTTCCCGAGAACTAAGCTTGGCCAAGCCCTTTTATTTTATAGTGTTGAAATTTGCTTTCACATCCTGCTTTTCAATTTTTCTGTGCATAATGAACACAGGGAACTACAATACAATGATTTCGCAGAAGGCCAATCACTGCAATTTTTACCCAGAATTCCTCTACTTAACATCCCCCTTTTTGATCTGGCCTTGGGAAGATTGATGGGAGCAATGAAATGTTAGACCAAACGGCAGTTCAATCCTGGGAAGGTGAAAAGTGTGAGAAAGGAACTCAAGATAAGCCCGCCTTGATTCTGTTTGGTATAAGATGCAGTAGAGAGAAACTTGGACAGGTTTTCAAGTTCTGTTACCCTACCCTGGAACAACAGAGAGCAGTCCCAGAATTTAGCTGCTTTCCTTCTTGAGCTGGCCTATGTCAAGGACTGACATTTGTGGACCCAGCCTAGGTCTTTAACTCTCAGTCAGCATGTCAGGCAAACCCAGTCTCAGCCATTAATCAGTTCTAGGCTTGGGGAGTTATCTGAATTAGGTGATATGGATTCTGAGCAAGTTGAGCAGCAGGAGGTGGGGCCAGTAGGACTCACCTTCTTAAAGTTGGCCCACCTTTGCAGGGGCTGCCCTCCTTCCCCTCACTATCCAGATGGTGGGAGTGGTACCCACTTTGTGCTTCTAGGCTGGGATCACCAGGGGCCTTCAAGATGCTGTGCCCCTGCCAAGCAGAGAAGGTCCATCCCGCCCGAGAAAAAAATTAATCAGTTCTCATGAGCCACACTGAACCAGCTAGGTAATGCTTCTGATTTTGGATCAGCTTTGATTTCAGCAAGTTAGTCATATCACATGCCATGTGTTGTTCACTGGCTATGTACAAAATATTGTTTTTGTATTGTTCTTCCATCTGTTTTCAGACCCAATTTGTACTTCCTTCTTTTTCTATATAATATGTTGTAAAGTAATATACAGGTAGTCCTCAACCTATGACCATTTGTTTCACGAGCATTCAAAGTTATGACAGCACTGAACAAATTATGGTTATAACCAGTCCTCGGAGTTCTGGCTGTCCCAGCACCCTGTGCTCACATGATCACAATCTGGGTGCTTGGCAACCGTTTGCACTTAAAACTGGTTGCAGTGCCCCATGATCACGTGATCCTGATTTGCAACCTTCCCTGCCAGCTTCCCCAGAAAGTCAATGGGAAAGTCAGCAGGGAAGGTTGGAAGTCCCTGGGGTAAGTCTCCCCCACCTTGTGCACCCACTCCATGTCTGTCTTGCACCCCCTTTTCACCTTTGCACACTCTCCCCAACCTGTGCCTCTCACACACCCTCTCTGACCCTCGCCGTGCCTCTTGTGCACCCCTTGCAGCTTCACACCCCCTCCCTGACCTCTTGTGCACCCCCTCGCGCACCCACACTGTGCGTCTTCCATACACTGCCATGCACCTGTGCTGCACCAAGCTTCTCACACACTCGTGCACCCTCCCTGACCCATGCCTCACCTCTTGTGCACTTCTTGTGCACCTCCTCATGCATTCTCCCGGACCCTCCCTCGCATCCCCTTGCTCCCTCCCCCATCCAGCAGCAGCCACTTACCTGCCTGCCATCCTGGGACTTGCACCTTCTTGCCGGCTTCCCCACTGACTTGGTTGTGGGAAGCCAGGAGAAAGTTGCCTCACCTAACAACTGTGGATTCAATTAACGATGGCAACTGGGACTGCAGGGATTGCCATCGTTAAGCGATGCAGTCACGCTTTACAACTGCATTGCTTAACAATGGAAATTCTGGTCCTAATTGCAGTCGTAAGTCGAGGACTACCGGTAACAGAATCTTGAATGCCTGTCAGAGTTTCTCTCTACTACATCTTATACCAAACAAAATCAAGGTGGGGTTATCTTGAGTTTCTTTCTCACACTTTTCCCCAGGGCTGAATAATCTCTACTGTGCTTCATTCACCTTCAATGTTTTTTTCATTCTTTCCTTTTTTTCACCCAAACAATATAGAAGTGACATTTTCCTTTAAACATTACGTTGTTTATAGCACCGTTGTGATATGGACAAAATAAGATTGAGACTTGATGCTCTTCTGTGCTCTTTATTAACAGCTTCCTGTCCATACTAATCTCTTGATCATCCCAACATCCGTTTCTACCGGTATTTTTTTTGCTGCTATGTATTTTTTCATAGTGATGGGAGAGGGAATAAGTTTTAGAAAGAGACCATTTCATTCATTTTATTAATAACACAAAGGTCATAGTGATGGGAGAGGAAAATCAGCAAGATGGCAGATAAGAGTGTCATGATGCAAACCCACCCCTTTTGTTCAGGCATTATTATTATTACCCTCTGCAAACGTGTGATTTTGGCCCAACCTCTTGCAGACACCCCAATAAAGATTATAGAATCCTCCACTGCTTTTTTTTTCTTTTATGCTTTTGGTAAGAAAAAGCGGTACATTTCTCACATTTGCGCACACGCTCACGCTTTCACATGTGATACATGTTGGAAAATTTTGCATGCATGAGTCGGTTCCTCCGGTTGAATTTGCTGTGGGTTTTCCCACGTGGGCAGAATGATTCAGAAGTTGTTTGTATTCAGAAGGGTTCTGCATTTGCGGGAAATGACTGTGTCTTTATTTTTGTCAAAGGTTTTTTTAAAAATAATATTGTCTGGAGTCCACAGTGTATAAGAGAGGTACAGATTGAAGATCTCTCCAAATAAAGATTTTGTTTCGCAGTTCCACTTCCTCATTTGCAGAACTGAACTGCTTCTTGCTATTTTTATTATTACCCTAGAAATTCTGTTCAGGAAATGAATACAAGGGTTATATCAAGGGATAACTGTCTCATTTGCCAACCACATGACACATGCTACAACCTGTTCTCCTGACGCATTCTCTCAGAAATCTTCTAATTTCTAATTACTTCTCTTCTGCTAAATTTAGGGGTCTCAATACTGCTGTTTAACTTGTGGGGTTTGCGCTAAACACACTTCTTAGATAAATGGAATAAATCAAGCCAGGCAGTTTTGTAAGAACAATGAGAAGAAATAGTGAAATTAGCTAGATAGGTTTTTTCCGAAGGCTAAACTTCTGAAATTGACTGGAAGATGGGCTGTGTGCTAAAAAAAATGTTTTAATCTAGTATTTTTCAAACTGTGTTCCTCAGAACCCTAGAGCTCCATGAAAATTTGATTGGATTCAGTGAGAGAGTCTGTTTTCTGTCCATCAAGAGCTTTTCATCTCGATTGGGGTTCTGGATTTATTTTTTATAAATCGCTTCCATGGCCTGGGAAAGTTTGAAAACCCCTGCTTCCTCTGATCTTTGCTTCCTTTATGGGCAGAAAAGATTGTGTGTGGTTTTTTTTCAAGAGTTAAATGTACAGGGATGAGTTGCAATGTGTGTTCCATGCAGAGAGAAAATTAGATTTAAGCAAGCAAGGCAGCAGCTGAGAGGTTTAAAGTGCCTTGTTACGGGTCACCAAAAAGCTGGTGGCATTTCTAACATTTCCAATGGTTATGAAAAGTGCGTTCAAGTCTTAAACACTTTGGATATTGTGCTGTATTCTTTGCCGCAATCTGAGTGAGAACACTGTGTTTTGGAAAATACCCGTATCTTCCTCTGGGGTCATTCTTGCATGAATGGAGCTCTTGTATAGATCATACCAGAAGGGAATTTGTTGAAAGCTTTTCAAAATGTGCCCGTTGTTAAGAATGCTTTCTCAATATGGACTAGAAATTTTTCGTGCACGTACATGCCTGGAAAAGCTTTTTTGATTCTCTTACAAAAGGTACTGTTTCTCAAAAGGCCAATTGACCAATGGCGCTCACTTTGTGTTATTTCCTTAGGTCTTATTTACACAAATGATTAAGAATTGGCATACCTTATGCTCATGTTTATAGTCTATACACTATATGGTTTATAGGTGTAACACAAAAGGAAAAGTGATCAGGAGTGAGGAGAAAACTTGCGTATTAGTTCCAAGTTACAAAAATCAGTGTTCTTGGGGAAGGGGGGGGCAAAATAAACTTGAGGTTTGGAGCCTGGATGATCCCCCCCCCCACACACACACACACTTGTCTATCATAGATTGAAAAACTAGAAGAATCTCATGTATTTTGGTTTCTTTTGCTAATGACTCTCTCGGACTTTTAATCAAAATCATAAGTCTCATAATTTGAGCACAAGAACAAAGTCAATACAGGTAGTCCTCGGCCTACAACCATTCGTTCATGACTGTTCAAAATTATGGCGGCTCGGAACTAATGGTGGTTACGACTGGTCCTCGGAGTTCCATCTGTCCTAGCACCCCCATGGTCACGTGATTGTGATCTGGGTGCTGGGCAGCTGGCTCATACTTACGACCGGTTGCAGCACCCCACGGTCACATGACCCCCATTTGCAGTCTTTCCTGCTGGCTTCCCCAGAAAGTCAGTGGGGAAGTGGGCGGGGAAGGTTGCAAGTCACTGGGGTAAGTCTCCTGTACCCATGCACCCTCCTCCAGCCCCTCTGTGCCAGCTCCGCACCAGCCACTCACACCCATGTACCCATGCACACCCAACCTGCACGGTGCCTCTCATGCATCTCTTCGCACCCGCCCTTGTGCACCCTCCCTGTGCTGCGCAGCACCTCTCATGCACGCACCCCCCCCACACCCACTCCCTCTCTCCCCCACCCAGCAGCAACCACTTACCTTTTTTCCAGTTCTGAGACTTGCAACTTCCTGCCGGCTTCCCCACTGACTTGGTTGTGGGGAAGCCGGCAGGAAGTTACCTTGCCCAACAACCGTGAGATTCAGTTAATGAGGGCAACCAGGACTTCAGGGATTCCCATTCCTAAGCAACGAGGTTGCGTTTCATGACCACATCATTTAGCAACAGAAATTCTGGTCCAAACTGCCGTCATAAGTGGAGGACTACCTGTATCCTGTTTCCGCCAAGCAGGAAATGGCAGCAACTGGTTGCTGCTGTTATTTGGCAACGACAGATAGATTGCCTCTGAATCTGGAGGGTCTTTAAATGTCAAAAGTGGATACCACAGATGATATGTCTCAAGTTCTTTTAAAGCTGTTCTCCCTGCCTTGCAGAGTCTTCACAGCTGTGCCGTAAACTTCCATTTGCTTTCTTGAATCTTTGATCCACTAATTGGAGTAGGTCACCCGGTGCCAGCCCCTTTCCTCCAAAACACAGGAGCAACTCTTTGCATTTTTTTTAATCCCCTCGGTTTGCAAAAGTTCTTGCCCCAGGAATTTGCTGTGAATGAGAGGTGGTAGCTGATTTCCAGCTTTTTTCTTCCTAGTCCATAAAAGAGGCCGCATTCACATCTCTGTAAAATGCTATGAAGTGCAAACCCCCAGCGCTCTCTCATCCCGTTTTTTCAAAATTCGGAGCCTTTTTTGAAAATCTCACTTTGGGGTCTTGCAGAGCCTCTGCATCTGCAGGCCACTAGGGGGCGCTGCAGGAACAGCCCTCAAATTCCGCCAGGCAGCTCTAAAAACATCCTTTTTCCTTCTCATCTTTTGTCCTTTTCTTAACGTTGTTCAGTTCTTCCTCTACTCTTAGATAACATGTTGGGGTCTGTGATGAAGATTTGAAGCTGAATCCCAGGAGGGTAGAAACTGTCTGGGCTGAGCAGTTCCCATATCCAGGAACAGCCTTAATCCTTGTTCTGGATGGGGTACGAGCACCCTGAAAGACCAAGCAGAGGTTTTGGGGGCTCCCTTGGATGCCAGCTTGTCGCTGGAGACACTGTTGACCCATGCACAGTTATGCTAAGGCAGGGGTTCTCAACCTTGGCAACTGGAAGATGTGTGGACTTGAACTCCCAGAATTCCCCAGCCAGCC